CAGTATCAATAATCATTACGTTTTAGTTTATGCATGGTAGTCTATGTTTTACATCCTTACATTTATCTCATGTTTAACATGTTCGCTTAGGATCACTGAAAACCAAAAATCATTTATGCTTGCTTGACTTAATCATTTCTAATATATCCTTATTGCTAGCATCTCACATGATTGGATTGATACCTATTGTACTGCAATGACATGATAGTACTCTAGAGTAATTGGTAGTAAAATCCTAGTATCAACTTTCAAAGGTACAAAGAATGTTTTGAAGTTAACCAAGCCACGAGATTATCGTAGAGCGCTTGTTGGCTCTTTTGATGATGTTGCAGGTAAAAGAAGTGTATCACCCATACCTAGATCATGCCCTCCTGCTGTTCCTCGTGTACTTGGTCGATCTCCTACACCTAATGCTTATACACCACCTTGGATGATGAGACACTATTCTCGGAGGCATTTACTGCCACTTCCCGATCCACCGGACGCTTGAGCTCCGACAAAGTCAAGCTAACGACTGAAAACAAGCGCTTAGTGGTAGTGGGTGGCAACCCACTTGTGAGTTTTTCTATTTCTTTTGCATTTATTTTTGTTTTATTTTCTTTATTCGCCAATCTTAAACTTGGTAACACTGGGGATAGTGTTGTTTAAGTCTGGGGGAGGCAGTTACTGACTTTGTGTATGTTTTTGGAGTTTTATTGAGTTAATTAAAAAAAAGTAAGTTCTATAGTTAAGGCGATGAAGAGTGCAAAGAAGAGTTTCTTACAGTTGAGTGAGTTCCCGCGTTTTCAAACTTCTTTCACAGGTTAAGTTTATGTATTGCTTGAGGGCAAGCAAAGGCTAAGTCTGGTGGAGTAGATATATCATGGTTTTTACGGGTTTTTGGCCATGATATAAGTCTTATTTATAGAGCTTTAATAGTATTGTTTAGTCTTTTTGAGTCATTTCAGGATTAGGAGCTATTTGGCATGGATTGGAGCTTTTTGGAGCATTTGGGAGCATTTAGAGAAGATGTGCCGAAAGAAGATACTGGGAGAGCATATTTGGTGTGAGTGTCGATCGACACCAATATGTAACGGCAATTGAATTTCGCGTTTAATTGAAGTTCAGAAGATTTGCAGATTCGGCCCAGAAGTTTCCCTTATTTGCAATTAAGCCCAGTTCGTGGTTTAGACATATATATTGAGTTTTTAGGGTTTTGTTAAGATTTAAGCTTTATTTTGGAGAGAGAGATTTGTAGAGAACTAGGAGAGAAGAATCAAAACCTCCTTCAGAGAAGAACTCCTTTACTCTTCTATTGATTTCTTTAATGATATCTACTTTATTCATGATGTTTGTTTCATTCACCATGTCTGAGTAGATTTCTTGTTAGGTTTAGGGTTTTCAAAGGAAATCATGAATTGTTAAGTTGTTAGATTGTTAGAATTGAATCAATAGAGTTCTTCATCTAGATTGTGGTTAATTTGTTCTAGAGTAGTGAAAGCAACCTAGAATCTGATCTTAGGTTAATTGGTAGACACAAAAGTGTTATTGATTTCCTTAAAATAATCTAGATGAGCAAAATACCTATTCTCATAGAGATTTTGTTTAGGGATTTTGTGAAATTATCAAACCTGAATTAAATGCATGTCTTAAACTTATTAATTTGCAAAGAGATTTGGATTTTAGGGTTCTAAACATAGATAGTCTTTGCAACGAAAATTGATTGATTATATTTTTGTGATTAGAGTTCAAGAACGGTGCTTTATAAATCCTGACATACTTATTTGCAATTCTGATATTCCTGATAATATCCCTAGGTCTAGCGTTTCCTCATTATTAGTTTAAAACAAATCGTTAATTTAATTTGCTGTTTTATTTAATTTAAAACCTTCTTGCTTAGCTTAATTTAATACCAATTATTTATTGTGTAATCGTTGAGTCTCTGTGGATTCGATCCCTAAGTATATTTGATTAACTCATTGTAATTTTGAGTATATTGTTGATAAATTCAGATTAGATGAACGATTAGTTTGATACAACTCCATTTGATTCAACTCCATTAGATAAACGATTATGTTGATCAGGTTGATTCACTCCAATTTGATTCAATACCATATTTTAAACCAATTTGATTCAGCTCCATTTGATTAAGCTCCATAAAGCTCATTGTTTTGTTTCAATTCATTGTTTTGATACAGCTTCATTAATTAATTTGAGATTTTCTTAAGTTTTAAGTTTTGCTCGTCAAAACCAGCTCATTATTTTGCCTTTTGATTCAGTTCCAAAGTTTTTCATTGTTTTGAGATTTGATTCAGCTCCATAATTTCTCATTGTTTTGAGTTTTGAGTTTTATTAGCCAAAACATTGAGCTGAATATTACGTAAACTCTTTCACTTTTACTTGCTTTGTCATTATTTTCTTATATCAGGTTTTTGTTGTTGTGCATATGGGTACCAGCACAGTACATTAGACCCAAAATTACGTATGATATATTCTGTCTTCTTTTTCACATGTTTTCATATTTGTTTTCATTCATTTGAAGATTGTATTCTTGAACATTTGTAAATTGTATTAGAAACTTACATTGATCGAAAGATGGCTCACTGTGAATACTTGTTTTGCTTTCTGATTACTCATGGAGTCATTCATATCATGCAGTTTCTCACATAAACGTTGATTAAATTAAGATTCTTGAAAATTCAGGAAGCATTGTTGAAATTTCAGGAAAGGATATGCATATTTTAGGATGACTTTCTTGACACGATCTGTGTTTTTTTTTTATTATTATTGTAGGACATGAGTTTCTTGAAATCAAACCCCCTTAGCTCCATTTTAACATTGAAGAGGAGCTAATATCAAAAACAAAGAGAGGAGCCAAGATAAAAAAAATATATTACATGAGACAGGTAGTATAATTATTATAAAGAAAGAATTTCTTTATATTTAGGAAGAACTCCTTGACATTCAAGAAGGATTAGATAACATTCATGATACCATTCATTCATAGACGTTTATGATGTTTGTGAAACATTTTAAGACTATTTTGGTATTTGTATGATGTTTTTGCAATATAAAAGTGTCAGAAGTTTCTTTTAGACAAGATGATTAAGTTTGCTACATGTTCTCTTTAATTTCAAGGACTTCTTGAAAATTCAGAAAAGCTTTCAATGCAACATACGAATGTTCCTTATCGTTCATGCACAGTTTCATAAAAGGTTGGAATTTATGATACAATGGTAAAACAACAGGATGTGTGCACAAAAATAAAATCATTACCCCTTAGTAATGAGTAATATATGACACATTGATGCAAACTTATTATAAAAAAATAATTAAGAAACACATTTATAAATTTTAGGAAGGATTTCACAAACTTCAGGAAGGATTCCACGAAATTCAGGAGGGTCTTCACAAAACGTCTGAACTTGACAATTATTCTTCATATACACTGGTAAAGAACCTTATGCCATCCTCTTCATCCTTAGAGGAAGTCCACAACTAAGTTTGATAGCATTGACTAAACAATCCAGTTTGAGAACTTCAATCACCATCTTTGCTAAAACCTTATACGTGATATTATCATCAACTTCACAAAGAGATCCTCCATTATTCCAATTGATTGTACAATCTCAGGTTCCATTAATATTTAGGAAGGATTTCACGAACTTCGTGAAAGATTCCACGCAATTCAGGAGGGTCTTCACAAAACGTCTGAACTTGACAATCATTCTTCATATACACCGGTAAAGAACCTTATGCTAACCTCTTCATCATTAGAGGAAGTCCACGACTAAGTTTGATAGCAATGACTAAACAATCGAGTTTAAGAACTTCAATCACCATCTTTGCTAAAACCTTATACATGATATTATCATCAACTCCACAAAGAGATCCTCCATTGTTCCAATTGATTGTAAAATCTCAGGTTCCACTATCATTTTATTTTCAGTCCCCACAAGCTGAATATAACTCAATTATACTGACAAGATTCAAACAACTAAAGCGTGAGATACACAAATGCAATTGTACCATATCTCTCAGTTCGTTAAACACTAAATCAAATGTGAAATCACCTTACAAATTTGGATCTGCAACGTTTATTCGACCAAGCTGGTTCATACTCCATCAAAGCAAAATCTATTTTCGATTGAACATAGTCGTTTCACTACACCCAACACTAATCAAATAAAAAACGATTAAGCATAATCGATTCAAAACTCTAAACTATAATGAAAGCAAAACCGATTACGGAGAACAATTAACTACTACGAGAACTAATCAAAGAACAACTGATTCACTACTCAGAAAACTTATCAAAGCAAACCGATTAAGAAGAATCGATTCACTAATCAAAGCACAATCGATTCACTACTCAAAAGAAGAGGGAGAGGAATGACACGAACAACCCGAGACGAACAATGGCGTAGACAATCGGAGACAAACGACAACGATAATCGACGACATTAGAGAGACGTTAGAACTCGTCGGAGATTATGGAGACTGTGACTTCGACAATAATGGAGAATTTCCCCGATGATAATAAAAATCGGTGAAGATAAAGAGCGAATCATTGAAACTACATATCTTTTAAGTTTGTATTTAAGGGTATATTAGTCTTTTGTTTTAATAATTAATTATATTGATATCAAATTAAGGAGTGTGTGGTATATGTAGAAGTAAAACTTAAATGATGTTATTTTAGAATATTTCTTTTATTATTATTATTATTTTATTTTATTTTTGAACTGTGAATTATACATTGTGCAATATGTTATTTTTTATTTTAATTATAATTAGTAAGAAAATTTAGCAATAGTAATTATTAAAAAAAAAACAATTAGCTACCATTTATATTTTTTTAATTAAATAAACCATGGGGTTTGACTCTGAAGAGATCTGTCTTCCTCTTTCTTGGTCATCTTCACTTATATATTAAGAAGAACAAAAAAAGGGAAGCGGATGGGGGCCGGCGATGCGTCCCGGTCGGATGCGGAACGGAGAAATCCGGTCCGCCGAAAAAAACGCTCGTCCTACTTCTCCTCTTCGCTCGTCCTCTCTCTCTCAGCAAAGCTTCAAGCTTCAGAGCTCTCAATCAGATTCTTGAAACGAAGTTTTCTGATTTCAACTTCTACCTACTTTTTTTTCATCGCCGGCGCAAATTTGAGCTTCAATGGAGTTCAGAATCATAAATTAGGGTTTTGTTTACTTCGATTCGAACAAAGTAATGTCAGATCGACTTCATTTTCTTGTTTTTGAGCTTCTTCTTAGTATCTTATATAGTTCTTGATGGTTTCTTGTAGATGAAAATGGTGAGAAATGAAGCTTAGATTGATTGGTTAAGTTATGGGTTGTGTATTTGGCCGAGAGGCGAGTTCATCTGAACCTAAGAGCTCTAAAGCAGCAGCTAGTGGAGTAGTAGTAGGAGAGAGTGGTGTTCAAGTGAGTAAGAGTAATGGAGCTGTTGTTGAAGTAGAGAAGAAGAATGATGAGATTGTTAAAGAGGAGAATGGTGATAAAGAGAGGAAATCGAAAGGAGAGAGGAGAAGGTCGGCAAAGCCGAATCCACGGTTGAGTAATCCTTCGAAGCATTGGCGTGGTGAACAGGTTGCTGCTGGTTGGCCTTCTTGGCTTTCTGATGCTTGTGGTGAAGCTTTAAGTGGTTGGGTTCCAAGAAAGGCTGATACTTTTGAGAAAATCGATAAGGTGATTGGTTTGGACTTCACTAGTCCACTCTATTGTGTACTTTGTTTTGGTGTTTTGTTGAAGTTTCTCAATTGGATATCTTTTTTCGGTGTTGTAGATTGGACAAGGGACATACAGTAATGTGTACAAAGCAAAGGATATGTTGACTGGTAAAATAGTTGCGTTGAAAAAGGTTCGGTTTGACAATTTGGAGCCAGAGAGTGTGAAGTTTATGGCAAGAGAGATTCTTGTGTTGCGGAGACTTGATCATCCTAATGTTGTGAAGTTGGAAGGTTTGGTTACGTCAAGGATGTCGTGTAGCTTGTACCTTGTATTTCAATACATGGATCATGATTTGGCTGGTCTTGCTTCAAGTCCTGTTGTTAAGTTCGCAGAACCAGAGGTTAGGCCTACAGTATCTAAATTTTTATAGGCTATTTTTAGTATCTTTTTAAAATTCCTCTGCATATATAAGGTCATTTTGGTCTCTTGCTAAGATCAGATTACTCGTTTTGAAGGTTAAATGTTTAATGCGTCAACTGATATCTGGTTTGGAGCATTGCCATAGTCGTGGTGTGCTTCATCGTGACATCAAAGGATCAAATCTTCTTATTGATGATGGTGGGGTCCTCAAAATTGCTGATTTTGGACTGGCAACAATTTTTGATCCAAATCACAAGCGGCCAATGACAAGTAGAGTGGTCACATTATGGTATCGAGCTCCAGAGCTTCTGCTTGGGGCTACTGATTATGGTGTAGGTATTGATCTTTGGAGTGCCGGCTGTATTTTAGCTGAGCTTTTGGCGGGAAGACCTATTATGCCTGGTCGGACAGAGGTATCTGGTCAATTCATCATCTTAATATCTCTGTCAATAAAATTCTGTTTCCTATTTCTCTAGTATCTGTTTCTTAAAACTATTTGAAATCTGCTTTGATGCATGGACACTCACAGACATACACAGATAAACAGTAGGTTTTCCTTGAACATATTAGATTCCAAATTAACACTCTTCTCTGTATGTAACTAGAGTTGTTCCATGGGTAGTTTTGTTGAAAACTGGCACTTGCTCACGATGGTTTTGAGCAAAAAGTAAACCCACAGTGTGCATTGCCAACTTTTATTAGCCTGCACTGCACTTTGAACTTTATCATGAATCTTTTTACCTTTTTTTCTTTACTGGTTTATAGAAACTAGATATGTTATGGGAGAGTTCGGCAGGCTGAAAAGTTACTTACCGACTCTACATGCTTATGTTCATCATGAAATAGGTTGAGCAGCTCCACAAGATTTACAAGCTCTGTGGTTCACCATCAGAGGACTATTGGAAAAAAGGAAAATTTACACATGGAGCCATATACAAACCCCGTGAACCATACAAAAGAAGCATAAGAGACACATTTAAAGACTTCCCACCATCATCTCTTCCACTAATTGACACCCTTCTTTCAATAGAACCAGAAGACCGACAAACTGCAACTGCTGCTTTAAAAAGTGAAGTAAGTTACTTGGGTTTGATTTTGCTGCTGCTTAACATGAACTTGCCTGATTATGCGGAGCAGGTTTGAATCAGTTTACTCTGAAATTTTTCTATTCCAGTTCTTTACAAGCGATCCACTTGCCTGTGAACCTGCTGATCTGCCAAAGTATCCCCCAAGCAAAGAAATGGATGCAAAGCGACGGGATGAAGAAACTCGAAGGTTAGTAACATTTTTCTCTATAATGTTTTAATCATCTCTAACCTCAATTGATAGCGTCTGTTTCTAATGACAGTAGAAATACATTTGCAATTCTTTCAGCATGAATGTCATGCAAATATGATTGATTATTCATGTTAAGCATATATGTATCTTAACATGACTTTTGCTGAAGATGCAAATTGTTATATTTTGGTTTACTCCACTCAAATAATGATTGATATACTGAAAAGCAGGGTAGCGTTTACTCTATAGACTATTTCTTGGCAGTAATGAACCAAAACATGTCCCACTTCGTATTTTGGTTGCGCCTCTCGATTTTCTTAAAAGTGAGTTGTTCTACTCATACCATGTACTGGTTGAGGCTCCGACTTTGGCTAGATAGAAGTTGTGACTTGTGACCATCCAGATAGAGTGTAATGAAACACATTTATTTTTGAGTTTCAGATATTATTGTTGAGTCAACCAGTAATTGTATCTATTTTTTACTGTATTTGTTAGCATGCATCGACTAAAAGTTTTCTTTTGTTCAGACAAAGAGCTGCTAGTAAAGCCCAAGGGGATGGTGCAAGGAAGAATCGGCACAGAGATCGTTCAAGTCGAGCACTTCCAGCTCCTGAAGCTAATGCAGAACTTCAGTCAAATGTCGATGTATGTCCCTCCCAACTGCTTTCTATTCAATAACGTCTCTTAGTTTCTACATTTATTCCTGTAACTTGAATCAGATTACTTCTAGGCAAGTACTGTTGTTATAGATAGGTTTTGGTGTATATACTTGTGCATTTAGGCTGTTGTCTATCTGAAGTGAGCTAAATAATGAGTTTATACCATCAATACTTATGCTTCTAGGACAGTGAAATCTTAACTAATGTTCTGCTTCTGTCATATCTACATACACACACAGACTGATTCATATTATTTACATCACATTTTCTATCTTTTTACTCTCAAAAGCAGAGAAGGAGATTAATTACACACGCAAACGCAAAGAGCAAGAGCGAGAAGTTTCCGCCACCACACCAAGATGGTGGAGCAATGGGGGTACCATTGGGTGCCTCACAGCATATAGACCCGACATTTGTCCCACGAGACATGGTCCCATCCTTCACCTCCTCTTCTTTCAATTTTTCCAAAGACGAACCACCAACACAAGTCCAGACATGGTCAGGTCCTCTGGGTCATCCAATCACAGGCATTTCGAGAAAGAAAAAAGAAAATACCAAAAGCAGCAAAGGAAAGAGAGCAGTAGTGGCTTAAGAAGAAAGTGTTTACTACTTCATGTATAACAATGTAAGTGTTTACTCTCTATTCTTTGTGGCTTCCTGAAGGAAAAAAAATGTTTTATTCTTTTCAAATTTGCGTAGACTGTCATGTATTTATAACTATATATTTATTATATATATACACTACTTCTTTTGTTGTTCTTAGTTTGAAATATATCAATCTATTCTTAACACTAGATGTTTGTTTTAGATTAGTCATGGTCGTGATTCATACAATTCTTGTTGAAACACTTTGTTTTTCGCTTTTAATCAGGATGTTAACGAGTAAGATGCAGTCAATTGCGTTTGTTTGTATGGTTTTAACTGTACCATTGCATTTAGGAATGTGTTTAACCTTCGTGTTATCGGTGTAATCGCTGTGGTTAGACTCATTTGTTCATCTTTATTGAAAGTAAAACCATTACAAGATTTATCGCCACGATTCAAGTTACTTTGCGCATTGACTACAACAACAAGAAAGAGAATTCAAGATACATGAAACAAGATGTTGTAATACAGACAGAGATCTTAAACAAGTTTAAAGTCACCAAAACGAGAGAGAGATTGTTGTACTGCCTCATCATCCTCTTCAAGCCAGTATGTCTCCATAATTTTTACAGCCTTGTCATAGATCTCACTGTTGTCATGGTTTTCTAAGTCCTCCATCTTGTCTAGCCCTCCTGCTTCCTCAATCAGCACAGCGTAATGGTTCATGTCCCCTGCATTATTATTGCCCATGTTCTTCTCTTCCTCTCCCACTTTCAAAATGTTTTCCAATGCTTTAAGACAGACAATGATGATTTCTGGATCTGAACATCCTAGGAGACCACACAACGGGTTTATACATCCTTGCTCTACAAGGTATTTGATTTGATCATGAGAACCTGAAGTTACATTTGAAATTGCCCATGCAGCTTCTTTCTTAATGTCGAATTCACGGCACTGAAGCAGATTGACCAATGAGGGAATCAGATTAGCCTCTATTACCATCTGGATCTGTTCTTGTGTTCCCGCTGTGATATTCGAAATCATCCAACAAGCTTCCTTTCTAATGCTTTTCTTATTGTTTTGCGTTAGAAGATTGCCAAGACAAGGCAAAGCACCACTATTGATCACAAACTGTGTTTGTATATCATCTCCGGTAACTATATTACCAACCGCGCGAAGCGCAGGAATTATCACAGATGTAGAAGGATGCAGGAGAAGATCAACAAGTCTTGGAACAACACCGGCCTCGATGACACTCTGGATTGTTTCATTACTTACCTAGTGATGTAATTGAGTGCCCAACAAGCATCTGCCAAGACTTGTTTATCAGTAGAATGAAGTAATAGTTCAAGGGCTTGAAGCGCCGCGGGATTCACCAGGCCACCACGACACAAGTTTGACAATGTCCATGTGACTTCTCTAAGCATAGACAATGTGGTATGCTCATTAAGCTGATTGAGAAGCGGACCAAGAGCTCCACATGTAAGAACATACTCACGGTACTGCGGAGAATCACCAGCAACGTTACCTAACGCCCATACAGCTTGTTCACGGACATCAACGCTTGGAGAAGAAGCAAGAAGCTGAACAAATATTGGAACAGCATTGTGATCTACTACAACCTTTGTGTGATAAGATGTTCCTGATGCAATGTTTGTTAGAGCCCAAGCTGCTTCTAATTGAATATTAGGGTTATCTTCTTTCTTAAGAAACTCAACTAACCTAGGAACAACTCCTGAACCTATCACTTCATCAGTTGGAGGGTTTCTCTGGATAGATACAAGCTTCCTTACCTGAATAGCTGACTTGAGCTGCAAGGCAATATCATCCGACCAAACCCCAGAGACCATGTCTTGCAAAGTGTCCAACTTGGTATCGACCGAACACGACAACTCATTAACAGCTTCACGTCTCTTCTTCATCAGACTCTCCTCACGTTTGATTTTACGAACCTCAACCATGTTGTCTTCTCTCCTCCGTCGTCCCTCCTCCGCATCCACCACAACTTTGTACTGGTTCCGGCGGGACTCTGTCTTGGTGCTAGGTTTCAACGACATGGCTCTGTCTCGACAAAGGAGATTCAGTAAAGTGAATGAGAAAGAAAAATTTTACTCGATCAATGCAAACAGATTAACAAAGTAATGAGATAATGAGTTGTGGTGTATAACTGTATATATATAGATAGATCCTGCGGAGAAAAAGGTAAACCCTAGATAAGTAAATTTGTCTAATTAAAACAAAATAAGGGAACTTACCAAAACCTGAATTATAAAAAAGGAAAAGAAAAAAGGAATCTATTGGTTTATTTTTATTATACGCTAGGGATATATAGAAATCTATTTGCATATGTTAGATATAATTTTGTATATAATGCATCATGTGAATAAATTGATGGAAAAAGGAGAACTGTAATTTCTATTTATGTTTAAAAATTAATAACTAAAAAATAAAATTATCTACTAAATTAATAATAGATAGAGTAGAATGGTACTACAACACGGGTTAAATTTTAATCAGTTATACAAAAATTTGTATATATATTATATTTTTTAAAAAAGTTTTGATATGCTGTTTTATTTTATGTATATCAATTAGATATTATATGATAAATTTTTAATAATTCCTATATAAAAGACTTAATTTTGTAAATTGGTTTTGTAAAAGCAAGATGTTATATTATGAATAATTTAATACATGTTAGTTTTGTACTTTATTGTTTGAATATAGGTAAACCTCGAAGAAAAACATGTAAAATCAATCATATTATATACATATTTGGTTTGGTTTTATAAAAGTAAATGCATAAAAGTAGTAAGGGAGTTCCCATTTACTTTTAATTTTAGTTCTTATATCAAAAACATTTCTGTAATTGGCTTGGTTTTAGCTGCCGTTTTATATGCAAAAATTAATATTAAATAATTTATCAACTCTTTTGACCAAAACAAAAATAATAATAATTTCTCAACTCAAAAACATGGAAAATTATATAAATATGTTTTCGTTATTTGTTTGGTTAGTTTTTGATTTTAAATGCAATAGTTAATATAAAATTAATTTATTTGACAATGTACTTCCGTGATTTAAATCATATTATGATGAACGAGCTTGCACGTAGATAATTAGGAAACTAACTCACTCTCTATAGCACATGAGAGTTGCTTACGATTGATTTAAATCGGCATAGCACATGAGAGTTGCTTACGATTGATTTAAATCGGCAAAATAATAACATAATTCCTCATATTAAAAACATATGTAATATTATCCACATGAAAACATATTTTCAACTAGTGGTATTAAATGGTTAACAATAATATTCTAAATTATTTTATGGACTAAAAAATAGCTATTTTGTAAGACACAACATACCTGCGAAGGCCAAAACATCATTCTTCGACATCGAGATTATCAATATTATTACAAGAAGAAAAGGAACAATAGTTTTTGTGATACTCATCATTTTTTTTCTTAAAGAATTCTTGCTACTTTTAAATATATATGTGTTATATGTTTTAGTTATATATATATATATATATATATATATATATATGTGTTATATGTTTTAGTTATATATGTGTTATATGATACATATTAGATTACTTTTTAAAGCATGTTATATGGTCTTGTCCCAAACGCTACTCGAATCCTCTAAGCTTTTTGCCAGAGATTTTTATCAATTGAGCTATTAGCACTTGGTAAAATTTCATTTTTTAAAGTTGGAAAACTTATAAAAAGTATTGGTTTTTTTTTTGGTTTTGTATCACTTAATTGTTACAACAACATTGAACATTTTTATAGGAAACAATAAAACATGCTCCATTTCTGAATCCTCTTGCTTGACAAGCAGGTTGGCATTCATGACTTCCGAATTGAGGCCGCACACAAGGAATGCCAATGCAGTTTCCAGGGTCTTCAAATATACAATCAAGAAGGGATCATTATGATTTTATATATGACATATATCGATTTTTAAGAAAACCTTAAATTTTTAAAAACATATGTAATATTATCCACATGAAAAGATGTTTTCAACTAGTGGTATTAAATGGTTAACAATAATTTATACAAAACTGTTTTATGGACTAAAAAATAGCTATTTTGTAAGAAACAACATACCTGCGAAGGCCAAAACATCATTCTTCGACATCGAAATTATCAATATTACTACAAGAAAAAAAGGAACAATAGTTTTTGAGATACTTATCATTTCTGTTTTAAAGAATTCTTGCTAATTTTGAAATATATATGTGTTATATGTTTTAGTTATATTCACCAAAACCTCTATTTATATGAGGACTCTTACTCGCATAGAGTCATAGTCAAAATTATTTTTATTATATTTTACTATAAATGAATCTTCCATATTTACTAACAATCTTAATAAAGAATTCTATTATCATAAATAATACTTTGTTAGTATTTGACTAGCATCAAATATATATCTACTAAATATATATGTGACTAAAACATTCTTTGTATTAGATTTGACTAAATAAATAGACTGATCACAACATATTATTAAAGAAAAAAAAACTAAAATGACTCCAAATCTGAATTGTAAAATAAGCAATTTATATGTGAGAGTTATATAATATTAACACCAACCTTAAATCGGCAATTAAAAAGTGCTTTCCAAGTATAAGGTTTACATTTATATGACATTGTGGTGAATTAGTAAAATTTATATAATTGTATATTCTTACATTCCATGCAGTCAGAGCGTGAGGTTTCTAGATGGTCACACTAGAGTGAATATTTTCAAAAACAAACGATATTTTAGTGAAAATTTATTCATATGCTAGAATTGGTAGGGCATGTATGACCTTGATTTAGGTGAAACAACTCCACCATTGTTTTAAAAACATCATGATTAAATATCACCATAAATATTTATTTTATATAGATGATATATAAATTAATTTAATAGTATATAAAATATATAATACATGTAAATGGACATATATGTATATGTATATGTATTTATACACACTCACGTTCATGTGTGATAGCAAGTCAAGTCTGGATCAATATTAGGCCCACGAAGACAATAATATTTTGTCAACGTCATTAAACCTAATGAGACGTGCGTTTCACAAACATGTATATATATTCTAGTATAGTACCCGTCCGATGGACGGGTTATCTTTATTCAAAATTAAATTACAATTAATATTTAT